TGTTAACCTGCACTGGCCTGGCTGTAAGCTGTGTGAAGTTGATATTGGCTCCCTTTTTCTGACTGTGAATCAGTTTGTAGGTCTTTTTTCTTTCTCCTAAAAATTTTTAAGAAAAAAAAGTAAAAAGTTAGTGAAATGATGTATACCTCTTTTCTTGATGTTTTTGGGTAACTTGTTATATATGTGTTGAAAGTGCTTGGTAGCTTGATTCAAAGGAGATGTTGTTTTCCTTGTGTGTTCGAACTGTTTCACTTTTTTCAAGAAAATTATCAAAAAAGGAAATTTTTGAAAAAAAGAAGGATCAGCGGAAAAAAGATGCCAATTAATTTTATTGATCTATTTTCTTAATATTATAAAGAAATATACATATTTTACATTCTATATATATATATTTTTTTAATATGCTAGCTCATTTTTGCACCAGTATCAAGATCTTTATTAATTATTAAGATAGATCCTAGAAACAATTAGGACAAGTAATTATCCATATGGTCTAAAGATTTATAGATCCACAAATAATATAAGAAACATTTATTTACATTTCATCCAATCAGGATAAGGGAATTATATGACTGACTAGTATAGAATTTCTCTTAATTCTTAACTAAGTCAGAGGATCTGAGATGTTTTAACCTACCAATTTACTGAGGTATTGTTCATATTTTAAATCTCCTGTTATCAAAATAACACTTCTTAGAACTATAGTTCACCAGATGACTTATTGCTATCCTTGTATAGCGAAACTAATATGTCAAGAACTTGCCTAAGATACCCAGTACCACCAGTACCAAAAATCTCTTATACAAGATCTTTATAATTCTTGTTAGCACATATATTTTATAGGGAGCCTATTTTATTTCTTTATAATCACCTGTTCTTTTTAACAACCCATCTTTGTCTCTTAAAGAAACTTGTTTTGTATTTCTTTAAATGCCAAAATGCCTTACTACTCAATTTTGCCACTCTGATAGAAGATTGATTTTTATTAAGAATGTTGTACTACTTAGTTTTATCACATTTGAAACCTGTTTAATTTTCAGCTTGTACACCAGGCTGATTTTCTATCTTGTTATGGGCATGATAAGCAATCAATTCCTTATTATGACTATACCGGGATACCAGATTATTACTATAAAATAGTTGAGATCTTTGTGTTATTGATGATTTATTTTTCACTTGACCCTTATATAATATTGAACTCTGGACCTTGTAATTGTGACCTGGAAGCATTATCACTGTGCTATAGATTCACAAGTCACATATCATATTCTATATATTGATAGTTATTCTATAATATATACACTACTTGAACAAAAGTATCACATGTTATTTATATATTAATTACACAAAATTTTATATAATAATTCTATTTAAAATTTTAATATGTTATATTTTATGTAATGAAATATCTATATATAAATCAATATTCTGTTGGCCATCCATTATTTCTAATAACTGCTTCTATTTTTCGTGGCATACTTTCTATATAATTCATTAATTGATTTCTTGAAATTTTACTCCATTCTACTTATAATGTAATTTCTAATTCTTTAAAATTTTTTATATTTTCTGATCTATTTCTTATTTTTCTTTCCAATTCAAATCACAAATATTTAATTGAATTTAAATCAAAAGATTGACTTATCCAATCAGATAAAATCTTAATTTTATTTTCTAAAATCTATTGTTGAACATCTTTAGCAGTATGAATTAAAGTATTATTATTTTGCCTACCTCAGTTTGACCCTGAATTTCTGGTAGTACAATATTATCTGGAATCTGATTGGTTGACACAAAACATGTTAGTAATTGAATGTAAACAAGCTCCCATTGGTCACCTCACGTATTCCAATAACATCATTGGTGATAGAAAGAGTTGATTGGTGCCCTGTGTCCACTCCACTCCTCTAATTGGATTAACCTACAGATCAAGTTCCATGAGACCAATAAGATGTGAGCAACAAGTCCCTAGGTGATGAAAAAACTGTTATTCGTTCAAGCTGAGATCTTTCTCTCCTATTATTCTGGTCAGGCAAAGTTTAAAACTAAGGTCTCCTTTTTATCCCAGTTAAGCAATAAGACCGAATGGTTTCTAGTCTATGCTAAGCTTCAACCCTTTGATTACAGTTGAGAATGCATTTCTCCAGAAGTTGTTGAAGGATATCACAATCGACGAGAATTTCCACTGCTCTTTTGATACTCTCCCACCATTGTGAAGCAAAAAAATCTTTGAGGAAAGACTATTTTGGGCAATGGAAGATATATACCAGTAAAATTTCTTTAACTAGGTGTGGCTGCTGGAAGGTATTATACTGAAACAACATAACCTAGTTCCTACTAGGTCACATAAGAACCTGGGGTTTATCATAAGTCACCTTTCTATCGCATGTGGATAAAAAATCACTGCCTAAAGAAGATTGGGACCAAGTGTGTCCTGAAAGTAAAGGCTCCCACTAGAAGATAAGTTTCCTCAGACGGTATACAAAAAGAAAATTAAGATCAAGAATGGATAAGTTTCTCAGATGATCAGGAAAAAAAAAGATATCCCAATCGGGCATTTCTTATTGAGAAGAGATCTTGAGAAGCAGGTTTTTAAAGGAAGCTAAAAATAATTTTTTTATTTTTTACTCTTTCATTTTTTTGTGGTCTACTTAGACATTTTTAGATATTCCCTTCCCTTTTTTTTCAATCCATCCTTTTATAGTTTTCTGTAATTCAGCTGCTTGGTCAAATATATAATAGTGACAACCTGCTGGCGATGATGCAATGGACTAAGAGGGTCTTTACCTAAAGACATTATAGAGCAAAATATTGTTCCCAAGGTCAAACTTAAAGACTTTTATGCTTATAACGAGTTTGTTAGATTAGAAGAATAGTTTAGTTATAGTATGTATCATGCTGCTTAAATGAAAATGTACTTATGTTTTCAATTGATTAATAAACTCACAATCTAACCTGACTATAGGTAACCAAAAAAAAAAAAAATATTAAAATTTTAAATAGAATTATTATGTAAAATTTTATATAATTAATAAATAAATGATTTGCGATACTTTTGTTTAGGTAGTGTATATAATGTATAGTTTACAATTGTTTAATAAAGTACACATAACTAACCTAACAGAGGATTTATTAAAAAAAAAAAAAAAAACAAGATACAATATATAATAATTTAAAAATTTACATTTTATTTTTTTTAAGATACAAAATATTTTTTAACTATTTAAATAGTTAATATATATTTTATTACTATAGAAATTTTTATAAATATAAAATTTTTTTCTTAACTTAATTTATTGTAATTAAAAAAAAATAATTTTTTTTTAAATAAAAATTAATACTAATAATCTATTTTCTATAAAGATTTCTTTAATAAATTTTTTTTAATATTAACTATATTATAATTAGTATAAAAAACTTTAGTTTAAAATATTTCTTTAAAAAATTAGAGAAAACAAACCAGTTTTTTTAATACTATATTAAATTTTTTTATTAATACCGTTGATCAATTACTAAATATGGATTGGAATTATTTAAATCATATAAATATAAATTTAAATATCACATTTAGTACTAAGTGTTTAGTTTTCTCGAACCAATCAGTGATTAGATGTTGCAGTAACCTCCTTGACATTTTAAACCTTTCAGCGTAATCTTGTATTCTTTGCACACTTCCATTCGAGACGATACGGCAAAAATCGATTCAAGAACTGTGCTCATTTATATAAAAATACAAAGATTATGAGTACAACACAAACACCACCACGAAACATTGTTCCACCCCCTCGACCGTCCCACAGTGGCTTACCAAACTCGTCGCCTGCAGCAAGAAGCCCACCAACCAACTTACAGACTTCCTCTTCTAAGACTTCAGAAAATAAATATATATACGAACAGACATCTATTGACCGTCCACTCATACCTCAACGCTCAGCTCCGCCGCCACCTAAATCTGCGCAAAAATCTGTACAAATGAGCAGCAGCGCTTCTGGCTTAAATCATAATGGCAGCTTAAAGTCCAACTCTCCGATAAGTAAACCACGGCGGGGATCTCCGAACTCGAAGAAATCTACAAGTTTAGGCCCACCGCCTAGACCGCCTCGTTCGAACGTTAGTCCTCCAATGAACCAACCGCCATTAGCAAGGAGTCCATCGGCTGGTAGTGCTTTAACGAAATCGAATGAATCCCCTACCTCGCAAAAGCATGCACCAGGTAGTTCTCTGAAAGGAGCACCCGCCATCAATGTGCATGGAGACATAATTCAACCGACAAATGAGAAAGACGGGAATAGCAGATCATTCAAAGGGGTATTGAATAATTTGGTTAGTTCAATGTCAGGTTAGTTTATTATAATATTTTGAATAAGTTTTTGATCAAAATAATGACACCACAGTATAATACAATCATTTATTAATTATCTTTATATCCGATAGATCTTTTAGCGCCACCAAAAAGAGTAGAAATTTCATCACCTTATGACCCAGTGCACTTGACACACGTTGGATTCAATCAAGAAACTGGAGAATTCACGGTGAGATTTCGACAGTGGAGAAATTTACACATAACTATTGTCTATAGATTCTGATTGATTTTATAAAACCGCCGTAGGGTTTACCAAAAGAATGGCAACAATTGTTGCAAGACTCTGGAATTTCAAAACAAGATCAACAAGCTCACCCTCAAGTACGCGCTCATTGATTGAGGTTATTGAATATATAAATTTATATTATCGTTTCTTAAATTGCGATTATCTTGTTATTTTGATAATTAGGCTGTGTTGGAAATTGTGAAGTTCTACCAAGATACGGAGGGTGGAAAGAATCCGAATGCCATTTGGGAAAAGTTCAATAATGCCACAATAGATAAATCACCGACTAATTTACCATCTCCACGTGTAGAAAAGCTATTTGAAAATCCTGTGGGTATTAAGATCTCTGTAATTTGGATGAAACTTCAAAAATTAACCATGTGGCGAACAATCTTTGGGCAGGAATACATAAGAAATGAATTCATTTATGTTTCGTTTTCGAATTAGAGAACCGCACCACCACCACCGGAAAAAAGAAAACCACCACCACCGGCTGTTCCAGCAAGACCGCCGAATTCACCGGTAGATAACAAGAATCTGTATTTAAAAAGAAACATAGCACTATGCTAGATCACCATTTTAATGCTCAATGGTTTAACCAGGATTTCAAGCACTATAACAACGGTCAAAAGTCACCAGGAACTACATCTAAACCTTCACGAAGCAGTAAGTACATGGAAGCCGTATATGCACAAGTGATATATAATAATTTCTAAAAATTTATCAACGATTATATGATGTTTAGACCAAGATCCTCCAAGACTTCCACCCATACAACCGTTACCTCCACTCGAAAGTAAGACAATGCCAACTTCCGTTCAAAAACCGATTAGCAAGCCACCTCGTCCAAAGGAAGGCAACAACCAAGGGCCACCCACGGTCCCTCCCGCACCTAAAGTTCCACAGTTTAACAACGCCTCGCCTGTTACCAAGCCGCCACAACCTGGTAGTCAAAGACGACGGGACCCTCGCAAAGGAGCAGCAAAAGATAACACTGATGTTATCGAAAGATTGAAGGCCATCTGTACCGATGCCGACCCAACGAAGTTATATCGAAATTTGGTTAAAATTGGTCAAGGGTATGTTTATGTTTTTGCATACCCGTCTTATTCATTAACTTTGGTAGTTCTCCGGTGATTCTGCTTTTTCTTAGCGTACGATTATATTTTTTTTTAAATTTGTGTGATTGTTCATAGTGCTTCTGGAGGTGTTTACACTGCATATCAAGTTGGAACGAATATGTCTGTTGCCATTAAGCAAATGAACCTAGAACAGCAACCAAAAAAGGATCTCATTATTAACGAAATATTGGTTATGAAAGAATCGAGGCATCGTAATATTGTAAACTTTATTGACAGTTTCCTTTGGAAAGGGGATCTTTGGGTTGTGATGGAATACATGGAGGGTGGCAGTTTAACGGACGTTGTGACAAGTAATATAATGACCGAAGGCCAAATTGCTGCCGTGTGTAGAGAGGTAAGGTGTGAATGAAATGAAGAATTTCTTATTGATTTGAATGTCGCTGAACTAATACTTTAATTAGACACTGGAAGGCTTGGCACATTTGCATTCAAAGGGTGTCATTCATAGGGACATCAAAAGTGATAATGTTTTATTGGCGTTGAATGGGGACATCAAACTGAGTATGTAATATTTCTGCAAGTCCTATAGTAATCTAGTTGGCAACATGTTAACCAGAGACATATATTTGCAGCTGATTTTGGATTTTGTGCGCAAATTAATGAGAATCATAATAAACGCACGACAATGGTTGGGACTCCATATTGGATGGCGCCTGAAGTTGTGACACGTAAGGAATACGGACCCAAGGTTGACATATGGTCATTAGGAATCATGGCCATTGAGATGGTTGAGGGAGAACCACCTTATTTGAACGAAAATCCTTTGAGGGTATGAATCAACATTTCTTATTCCAAACACACGTTCATTATCCAACCGCTTATTTCGTTTAATATCGCAGGCATTATACCTGATTGCCACAAACGGAACGCCCCAATTGCAAAATCCAGAGAGTCTATCAACTGTCTTTCGGAAATTTTTGAATGAATCCTTGGAAGTAGATTCAGAAAAGAGACCAACGGCAGTCGAACTTCTCAAGGTAACTTGAATTGTAATATTATTACATTTAGCGAGCATCTTAATCCAGGGCTTACCTTTTTTTTTTTTTTTGATTAATGCAGCATCCATTCTTGCAGAAAGCCGAACCCTTAAAGTCACTTGCACCATTGATCAAAGCTGCAAGAGAAAATGCGAAGAGGGGTTAACGAGTTTGACATCGATGTTTTATATTGGATGGTATGAGCGATGGATAATGGACGTTTTACTTATCCAATAATCTTATCATCTTGTATTATCGCTTTTATAATTTATATTTGATAAGGCTTTCTATTATTATTATTATTATCATTATTCAAGGGCAGCTTGTAATATTCATTTTATTATTTTTTTATTTAGACATGATAAATTATATGTTGTTAATTAGGCACGAACGACATTCGATTTTTTATTTTTTATTTTTCATATATATAACACAATGTATATCTTGTTCCTCCTCTCTTCATCCTCTTTCATAATGATCAAACACCATCGATTCGATGCTAGCATCTCTTGGTCGTAAATTTTAACCTCGGATAGACTTTATTCTACGTTTGCGCAGATAGTTGTTAGTCGCGCTATGCGATATTTTGCTTAAAAGTATTTATATTATAACAAGACAATTCAAATTATTGGATTTGCTGTACATATGTACCACTTGCAGATTTGGCCCTTATGTTCGTTCCTTGGAAATGATGCGACATTTGAGTTCAAATATACATTCATAAAATTTTTTTCTTCTTTCCCACTACTTATTTATACTGTAAAAATTAATAACTAAAATCGAGTTATAATTGAAAGAAAGTGAATCGATTTAAAATATTGTTACACGAGCATGCAGTGCGCGATTTCGGACCCTGAATTTTATTTTCAGTATTGAATTTGGGTCCAATGACTTAGAACACTAGTTAGAGTTAAAATATATGTACTTTTTTTTGCTTATAATTATTGAAATTTTAAATCTTTAAAATCAAAATTTTTATTCACTTAAAAATTACATTTATTTCTGTAAAATCATTTACTTTTGGCGCCGACTGTACGTACGTACAGTGCATGCATAAAGACTTCCCGTTCATGCAGATGCAGTTACCATTTTCCTAAAGAATTCAATGTATCGTGCAGCATTCTTTTTTCGTCTTCACGGAAATTCAAATTCCTTCCGCATTGGAAAGCTTATGTTTGTGTAACAATTTTCACTGAAAAGTTCTTATCGTTGCTTTATGGGAGACTCTTTTTTCGAAAAGTTTCTTTAACCGATTCATGTAATTGCAACTCAAAGGGTGGCTTAAAATTTCTGCTTCTTCATATAGTTAAGAGGATTTGAAGTACCCTTAAAGATTATGTCTTTTGAGTTTTGTACACTGTAGCACACATATGGAAACTCGGGTAATTTATATATGGCATGTAGAGGTAAAGATTTTATTGGCCGAGGATAGCGCATCACTTTAACGCCAGACGGAATTCAAATATTAATTATTCTAGATTAGAGCGTGTTAAATCATGAGGCAACGCCTGTACCTAAATTGCGATTATTCTGATCCGAGGAGCCTTGGACTTCTCTAAATGAGGAAAATCATCACCGACAAAATGCTTTAGAAAATTGGAAACGGATGAAATCTTGGTGACTTGTTTTTTTTTTTGTAATGAGTGATTCTAATCCCTATCTATGCATTTAATAGTTAGGATTAGGAATCTGTTTATAAATTTATAGCCATGCTATTAATGTAAACGGCTCATCGTAATTGCAAAACATGGCGAGTAAAAACTCTTTTGGAAATGTCTTACGCCCATGTTGCACGCCGAACTTTTCAATGCACAGCATAATAAAGCCACGGAAAAACGTGAAAACTACCTTGCTAGGCAAATTATCATTAACCTGATTTTAAAAAATTTCGCAGGCGAATATAAATTTTGTTCAGCAGAATGGCTCATGAATGAGGCATTGGACTGTTCTATTATATAAGAGCTTTGTGATTAATTTTCTTTGCATAACCTCCTTCCGGAGAATTAAGTTAGTGTTCATTGTTCCACATAATTCTTCTACAATTTTATTTAAGCCCGGAATAGAAAGAACCCTGCATCTAAAAATGAACTTTATTCACCGCAAGTCCAATTTATAAAAATTAAAATTTGCATATTTTTTTAAAATTCGTTCCTTTCTGTAAACGGCAAGCATTAATCTATATTTATATATTCTAAATTAGGAGATGTTGACTTTTATAAACAACCACATTCTATTAAATTACTGGGAGGTAATAAATCAAATTTTAAAAGTTTATCACTAATTGATTTTATAAACTATTTAAAAGGTAAGTATGAGTTCTTTTTTACTGTATATCAAAATAACATTTTCTATTCCGTAAGTAAAGTCTATTGGCACACATTTCTCGGTTAACTAATCGATTTTGTAACCCGTGTATCCCATTATTCTATTATCAAGTAATTATACATGCGCACTTTATGTGTTTAATATTTTTTATTATTGATTTTTAATTTATGTTCATGTTCTATTAATAACAGCGATCAGTAAATATCCAGTTTCATGATAATATGAATTTCACTATTTTAAGCACTTCGTTGTATGATAAAATGTGATGCAATATTAAGATATCAATCAGCGAGTATTAAGTTTTATGGCATTCATATCTAGGACTAACGGTTTGCGATTGAACATTTCTCTAACCAGTTTCTTAAATTATTGATAAAAGACGGCGTTATGTATTGCTTTAATAAGATAAATTTTTAAATAATATATTCTAAAATATTATTCCTTTTTTTTTTTTATTTTACAATTATATTATCATAATATATTTTTATTAAGATATCAAAAAATATTTATAATACTTTTTTTTTTTTTTTTTTACCCTATATCAAACTAGGTACGTGTGCTTTATTAAACGTTTGTATACTATACATTTTAAATGATTTGCTAAAGCTAAGACTTTACCTAACTCACTTGTCACTGTTTTGTCTTAAT